GCTTAATGTCATATTGTTCCTTAATCATTATTAAGGCAATGAAAGTGCCATTTACCTCTCTGAATAGCTCACCCCTTTCAAGGAAGCTTCAAACCGTGCAGCTCTCCAGAAATCAACGACCAAAACCTATGAAAAAAGCAAATCGGAAAGCCATAAGGTCCTAGAGCCTTATCCCCTGACAGGGATAAAACCGCGGCTTTCAGTTCTTCCATTGACTTATCCACCTCCAAACCAGCCACCAGCTCCGCTGATAAAGTTCTAAAAGGAACACGAACCAAACGAGGAGTAGCAATAATACCAGATGAAAAGGCCTTATAGAAGTGCTCGATAATAGCTAAATTACGCATCTCCAAGTCATCTTACACTACCCTTGCAATAGTGATCCCTGAGATATCATTCTATCTCCTACGCGAACTCGCTATAGCACGAAAAAATTTGGTGTTCAAATCGCCCTCCTTTAGCCATTTCACCTGAAACCTCTGTCTCCAATATATTTCTTCAGAGGTGCGCAACTCTTTGAGGGATTTAATTTTTCCTACTCGCTCCCTACCCACTAAGTCAAAGAGAACACCACCATTTTGAATACGGTGATCAATAACTTGAATATCATCCAACAGTTGGTCAATATTAGCTCTTAATTGATACTTAATATCTCTCTTCCACGCTATTAACTTATGTTTCACAAATAGCAGTTTTTTATGCATCTGATAATCAAGAGAACCAAAGGTTATAACACTTTCCCAAGTCCTTCTAATAATATCCACTACACCCTCCTCTAATAACCAACCTCACTCCAACTTAAAAGGCTTAGGACTGCCAAACTGAGACCTCAAGCACAACAACAAAAGGTGTGTGGTCGGAGGATAGCCTAGGCAATGTTTTGACCAACGCCAAGGAGAAACTTGCAAGAAACTCACAAGACAGCAAGAACCTGTCAATCTTGGTCATAACCAAATTCCCGGGGTAATTATCCATCCAAGTAAACAAAGCACTTTGCAAAGGCAGATCCACCAAACTAAGACGTTGGATAAAACAGTTGAACAACAACATAGAATAATTAATCCTATACCCTTAGAAATACTCCTCAAGCCATCTGATTAAATTAAAATCCCCACCCACACATAAAGGTATATTCAACCCAGACAAAAACACCAATAAATCATCAAGAAAAACCGATTTTAGAGAAGCATCATTTGGGCCATAAACATTCACTAAACCCCCTACACAATTTGGTTTTGGACCTTCAAACATAGTAGCAATCCATCTTTCCCCTTTTAAAACCTCAAAACAATGCAAAATTTGAGGATTCCATAACACCCATAAACCCTCAGAAAGCTCATTAGAGTCAATCTCATCAAAACTTACTGCTCCAGAGCCCCAAACACATCGAGCCCCAACAAGATTAGGGCTGGGAAGTTTAGTTTCTTGTAAAATTACAACATTAGATTTAAATTTCGTAGTTAAGAAAAGCACATCCCTCTTACAACTAGCACCCCCTAACCCTCTAACATTCAAAGAAAGAATTGACATTAAGGAAAGTAAGAAGAAGAACCTGGACCTTCAAAATCAGGTACTGCCGTCTCAACATCAGCGCTATTATCACCATCATCCTCACCAGAGCCAGACTTCGAACTAACTTCAAATGGAGCTTCCACATTCAGTTTCGGCTCCCTAATAATTAGATTAGGACCCCTGGTCCTTAGCCTGCTAGAGAACCTGGAAGGGGCAGCAGACCACTTCCCTTTACCTTTGACAGAAGTATACTTCTTTCATTTGTTCGTTAGGGGACCTTGACTGCACTGGGCTTGCGATTTCTCCACATTCTCATAATTCTCAGTACCTTCACGAGCATCAGGAACACCCTTAGGCTTCGATTTGGACCTATTTGCTATACATACTCCATCAAGACCTACCTTCGTAGCATTCTTCTTCTCTTTGATTGCTTGAACAATCACACCAATGGGGACGTTATCATTAAACTCAGCTCCCAAATCATCCAAAATGGCCCCTATCTCTTAACATTTCGCATCATCAACCCCCATTGATCCCATTGGTACCACTAGAGAACGAGGGAAGAAAGCAATTGAGGTTGCCGGCTCCATGGGCACCAGTGTTGACAAGGGGTCTTCCACTCCATCATCTGCCAAAGCAGCAACAACACTGTCATGTACGTCATCAACCATTTCCGACGAAATATCCTCCGCGCTTTCTCCTAGTTCTTCCACCAAATCTTCCCCAACCCCAGATTATGAAGAGACAGGGAACCTACGTTGAGCTCCACTTCAGCCTAAAAAACAACCACCATGGCTTGCTCATCCACTTCCAAAGGATCAAAACGAGGTCTATCACCCACAACAGAGCACTTCTTTGCTCCTTTACGGCATGGGATAAATCTTAGTATGTCCGCCATCAAGATTGCGTAGATCAAAAGCCCAACCAACTGTTTAGACGCTGCAAAAACTAGAGAAACAGGCGGGGCAAGAATTGGGAATGGTTTTTTGAACCCTTGAGTTTCCTTTTCCCCAGCTGCATTTATCCCCGACATCACCCTGCCACTTTCTCAACTCTCACCGTCCTTAACCAACATAACTTTTCACCAACTTCATCTGGTGAACCCACGGTAATATGAGGTTTCGATATAGTCCCAGCATGATATCGGCTCTCCTCCGGGATCTTCGCCACCGACTTGACATAATTTACCATACAATCCAGTAAGCGCCTTACTGGAACCGATCTTTGCGTGATTTTAAAACATTTAAAAACCGACTTCCATTTCTTAGAATCACGTCGATTAGAATTAAAGATTTTTCCGCCCATTTTAAAATTATCCGACTGATAGAGCTCAAACTCCACTGCCAGAATTCCATTGTTTTGCTGATTCCACTGGAATCTTGTCGGAGATTTTCGCCAACACACCTCGGTCCAATCTTTCCCTGCACGTGTAGCCTCCACATTACCAATTGGTTCCACCAGACCTATAGGATTTACAATACTTTTGAGCATGTCATAACTATTTGGCACCTCAAAATTTTTTATCATCCCCATATCTATACTTTCCACAACCACGTCAATCAAAAAGCAATCCTTGCCCACCTGTAATTTGATTTGTCTTAGCCAAGGAATTCCGGCAATACGACGAATTTGTACCCTAGCGAAGGAAGCACATGAACCCCTCAGAATGTTATGATCAATATCATATAATTCACCAAATAAATTGGCAATATCTTTAAGCATTGCTACATCCCACACATGAAGGGGAACGCCCCATAAACGAACCCAGAACAATTCCTTATTGACAAAGGAAGAATGCATCGTCGGACTCCAAGCGATCAAAGTCATCATGGACCCACACACTCTATAAAACCTCTCCTTCCAAGCACTCACCACATCACGATCCGACTGCAGAATAAAATCCACCGTACCACTACCTAAACGGAAAGCCTCGGGCAAATATGAGAGGTTTCATCCTCTCTTAGCCCAATTGTATAGACCAAAAGGAGACAAAAGGAACCTACCACAATTCGCCGAACGCGAGCAACAACAACCTCAGAACCATTGAAAGTAACCTTTGGAATAAAGGACTTCATTAATCAACTAAAAAGCCTCTCTCTCTCTCTCACTCAGCTATGGAACTGGTCTATGTAGATCTATATCGGAACAAGACCAACAATTATCTTATAGAGAATACGCAGAGAGCCAAGAGAAGATGGGATAAAATAGAGTTTAGCTTTCACCTTTCAGCCCAAATGGAATGTTCAGATATAGTTGGGGACCCAAGTTTGGTACTTGTGCCACACAACCACAATGACTGCCCCTCAGTTATTTTATTTTGGCCCAATGATGCCTTAGCTGGCCTTAGGTGGTTCCCAAAATTTCAGAATGAAAAATCATCCCAAACTAGCTATTTTGATTTAGCAAGTAGAAGTAAGAGCATAACATACGTGCTATTGATATAATTCTTCATATACTTTACACAGTGAACTGATACATAACAACCGTCAAATTTTATACTGCACTGCTTGGGCTGCTGACCTCCAAACATGACTGTAGATGCAACCCATTTAACATGCCATGGCTCTGCCTTGCTCAATACACAGAGCCAAGAAGTTATTTACTCAGGGGCATAGTAGTTATTAAAGGCAGATATTTTCTCAGTCAGCGCAACCCATTTAACCTACCGCGGTTAGCACGCGACCCGCCTAGAAATAAATATATAGTTTAAAACTATAAATAATATTTAACATGAGATTGGAAAAAGAAATAACTTTTAAAAACTAAAAATAATAATATATCAAGAAAACATTAAATGGACCGCCTATTTAGATGTTTTGTACCTCTGAACAATATATTGTAGAAATGTGGTCTAGCATGAGACAATAACGCATTTTTGAACGGTTAATTTTCAAGTTTTCAAATATATGTTGATCTACACTATTTTTGAAGCTTCAAACTTCATAAATAAAAATGAAAATATATTTTAAGGCTATCACAAATATTTTCAGTATTGAAACCACATTCTCGATACTATTTGAAGGTTGTCTCTAATTTGATTGTTTAGAGCTTAGGCTCTATACAAACCACACCCATTGTTCAATAAGGTAATTTTTAAAATATAGGCTCTGCACAACTAAATAATGGAAAAAGTTTATTTTTTGTAACTTTAAAATGTAGTATTATAGATGCACCTCAAAAATCTATTGAAAAGATTGTTTTAATGTTTAAAAATCCTATAATTGATCATTTCGACATCGAGATGTATGAATATGAAAAAAAAAAAATTGAGTTAAAAAAATAGTGTATCTTGCAACACATTATCTAGATCATCAATTTTCAAGATTTTCATATTTTATAGATCTACTAGATTTTAACTAATTTTTAAGTTTAAAATTTTATATTTAAATATAAAAATAAAATTTAAGATAATCTTAATAATTTTGTATACGAAAGTTACATGATATAACCAAATTTGGAGGTGTGTTCAAGTTTGCAACCTTCTAGAAACCACACCCCTGAATAATTGGCCTGGCTGAGCCCATCAAAACTATGTGCATGTAGAAAGAAAGAAAAGCTAAGTACCATTATTGCCCCTCCCATGGCTTCTGCAAATCTCTACCTCCAAACCTTAAACCATTTCAAGCCCAATTCCCTTTCTCCATGTCCAAAAGTACCCCCCTTCCCCTTTTTTAAACCTTATCAAAGAACCTCAAGATTACACTGTCTGAACAGAGCTAATTCTAAGGTTTTGAGGTCAAGGACTTCAACAAATGGAAACGCTAGAATCATGGGTGCTTTTATATCTCCTCCTGCTCCAGACCCATATACCAGAGGTTTTGAAAGTGGGGGTTTTGCAGAGCAAAGTTATTTGGGGGCTAAAGCTGCTCCTCCATTGAGTTGGGGTCTTATTGGGACTTTGTTGATTAAGCACAGGCTGAGAATTGCAGTTTCAGTTGTTTCTTTATTGGGTTGTACGGCATGTATTCTTTCCATGCCTTTGCTTTCTGGTATGTCCCCCCAGAACCCATTTTGGAGCAAATTATTTGTTGTTTATGAAATCTAATTGTTTTTTGTTTTGTTTTGTTTTTTATGTAACTTTAGCTTCTGAACTGGTCAATATGAATGTGGCTAAGGATGTTAGGATTTTTTTTTTTTGGTTAATCTGCTAATTGTATTGGAAATTGTATTTAATGGAGTTCTTTTGTTTTGAGTAAAATTTCATGGTAAATAATGGATTCCTTAGAATACACATGGAACATCTTCTGCCGTCTTTTGTATATTGCATTTTGTCAATTTATTTTGAAGTTACCTATTTTTTTTTCTCAATTTATTTAGAAGTTAACTTTTTTTTTTAACATTTATAAGTAGGTGATAATGATATAGACCTTTTTCATGGAAGTTACAAGCTTCTCCTCTTTTAAGCTTGGCTATTTGGATTGTGCACTATTCACTCAGTTAGAATCCTATTAGTGTCTGATGTATGTTTCTTTTTTCCAGTTGTTGCTACAGGCCTATTGTTGACAAATTTCTATTTGCCAAACTGCTGACAGTGTTACTGAGTTCAATACACTTTTTACTGAATATGATTATCCATAGCTTACCTCTGCTGACAATTTTAATTGGTTATTTACTTATCTGTCACAGGAAAATTTTTTGAGGTACTTATTGGGAAGAGGCCGGAGTCTTTATGGGACGTGCTCACTAAAGTGGGAGTTTTGTATATTTTAGAGCCAATTTTCACTATTATTTTTGTCATAAACATGAACACTATGTGGGAAAAGGTGATGAAAGCCTTAAGAGTTCGAATTTTTGGGAGGATATTGGTTCAGAAGGTATGATTCCTCTATTTTAGCTTGTTAATAAGTTATGTATGAACCCATTGCATATTCTGGACCACACTGGGAAATTTTTTTATGTTCTCAAACATCATCAGCATTCAGCGATAATGATATCTACAAGGTAAACATGCTTTTATCAAACAGGAAAGCATATCACTTTGGTGCATAAAAAATGCCATTCTCATTACTGTGCTTTTTATACTGGATTCTTTTATCTCTCAAGGTTTCTGTCATTGCTTGTCAAGATACTTCTGATATTTTATCCATTTGCGCTTTTCCTTTCTAGTATAATTTGCTGTGTTGTTTCTTTGTGCAGGTAGAGTTTTTCGATAGATACAAGGTGCCATTTTCATCTCATCCTTTTCTAATCGTCTGTCATATCTTTCATTTCTATTTAAATAATACATAGGCACAAATTATAAATTGACAAGTTGTGATATCAGTTGGAAAGTCATCTAGTTATAACCTATATAGATTCTCCTAAGTGCAAACTACATTGAATTTTATGGTTAATTTGATGTATGGGATCTGTCATTATTTATTGCTCTGACATGATACGCATCTTCCAATGCCAAATATATGGTACTGAACTATGACAAAATTGACAATTAGCCCCAAGATATCTACTGGTTTCTTAGGCACTGACGATGATGATGATGATGATATCTACTGGTTTTTTAGGCACTGACGATGATGATATCTACTGGTTTCTTGGTGTAATTGGTTCGTTTGCTTGGATGTAACACATGCTAAAATTGGGAGCTCTACTTTTATTGCATGCTATTACCAGGATTTACACAAATCTTTTATTCTAGTTCTTAGATTGAAATATGTTTGCAGTTGAGGAGAGACAAACCAGCCTATTGCAAAGCATTTTCATGTTATTGTCATATTCAATCAAGGAACATAAAAGAGTACATATGTGTGTGAGATGGCCTTGAAATAAGCCCTTTCTCTCTCTTTCTCTCTCTCTCTCTCTCTCTCCCCCTCTCTTTCTATGTGCGGGTGTGTGTTGCTCACACATGCGCAGATGTGGGCATGCACATACACGGGCGAGTGTGTGCTTGCATGCATGTGTTTATGCATGCTTGTGGGTGTCCTCTCTATTGTCATTCAACTACTTGTCTGAAAGAATACAATTTATCCCTGCATATACCCAGAATAGGACTTATGTGCACCTTATCTTTTCTCAGGTCGGTGAGCTAACAGGACTGCTGACCTCTGATTTGGGTTCTCTGAAAGATGTTGTTAGTGAAAATATTTCAAGGGATCGTGGATTTAGAGCTTTTTCTGAGGCAAGCTACTATAAGCTATACAAATGTGGCTTGAGATTGCCTATTTTGACAAGTATGAATGCGGCATATCGTTGTTCAAACTTGATAGATATTCAAGTGTCCTGCCTTCTTTTTTCACTTCTATTTCATATGGTTATGCTGTTATCTTGGTGAGTAAACCAAAATAACACATAAAAGCAAATGCATGCAGAAATATGGTCTATGCCGGTAATAATATCTAAAAAATTTCAAAGATACAGATTTCTCCTCTGCAAATTGTGCTTCTGCTCTTTCTAATAGTTTCTTATTTAATTATCAATCTGATTTATTTGGATCTACAGTTGTCACTCTTATTAATTTATTTCTTCTTCATCTTTGTAGGTTATGGGAACAATATGCATACTTTTCTCGCTATCAATCCAACTTGCTCCTGTTTTGGGCCTGCTGATGCTATCTGTGTCGGGTTTTGTAGGTAAAGAATTTATTGCTTGGATCCAACTGTTGTTTTTTCTTTTTCCTTTTTTCCCAACTTTTTTTGGGATTTTCCATCTCTAATAATCATATAACATCTATGAACCAATGTAAGCATGTGTTTATCTATTGATCCTGTTTGTTCACCGTACTTGTATTTGAATTTTACTTATTCTTTTGTGTTTATCCTAATATCAGCCTGTTTACTTGATTGCTGATTCCTGCCCATTCCCCAATGTATGCATCCACATATAGAGTCAAGGCAGCTCTTTCAAAAATGTACTTTCTTTCAAAAATTTACTTTCTTTCAAAAAAATTATTCCTCTTTTTTATTCTATTCATGGTTTTTAGCTATGTACAAGCGTTCAACTGTACCTCTCTTCAAAGCTCATGGACTGGCTCAGGCTCGCATTTCTGATTGTGCAACTGAAACATTTTCTGCTATTCGTACTGTAAGTCATTAAACTGGTGATTGATTGCCTTGATGATGGGAAACTTGTTATATAACATGAGGAAAAAAGTGATTTAACCTGATGGACTGTGGAAAAACCATGGTCTATTGTGGTCATCACTATCCAGGTATCCGATGAAATGATGGACGGCGATGGAGCAAGCGTAGGAGTCACAGAAGAGAACATGGCCCCAATGATGGATCCCACTGTCTCCATCGCTATCTGTAATTTCAATGGATGGTGGCGACCGAATAGGCCATGGTTTTGCCATAATCTGTTGGATTTTTGTAAGGGTTCCCATTACTTTGACGCTGATTCTTCTAAATTTGATTAATTCTATCATAGGTGAGATCCTTTAGTGGTGAGAAACGACAAATGTCGATGTTCATTAATCAGGTAAAATTTCTAGACTTCCCAAATTGCCTAGTGTTCCCTAAAGACTAAAATTTACAAGTGTTCCCTAAATCATTACTGATTAAAGTTTCATTAATCATACACGAGAGAATCATTGATGAGTAAAATATTCAATATTTTCTTCCGTGAAGCGTGGCAGATTCTTCCTTACAAGATCAGTGGAATGAAACTTGGAATCCTGAAGTCTGCAAATGAATCACTGACCAGAGTCATGGTCTATATATCTTTGATGGCTTTATATTGCCTCGGTGGAAGCAAAGTAAAAGCAGTAAGTATTTTTGGTAGTGTATATGCCTTTTAGAACTACTTAGCAGTGAGTATTTTTAGTAGTGTATATGCCTTTTAGAACTACTTTTACTTGTCATTGGGTTATGAAATAGAAACTCCATATAAGGCGAGGCATTAATTTCCTGCAGAAGTTATGCGAATTGATCCGAAGCTGATTTAGTTCATGCAATTGAACCTCCATTCTTCTCTAAAAACTTCTGGAAATTATGCTATAATCCTCATGGTCATGAAATCCATACTCACGTGGGTCATCACCATCTAATCAATGTTTGAGAGTGGTGGAGAGAGACCAGGTGTTACAAAAGTAAAAGTGAAAGTAATTATAAAAACAAAACCCAATAGTTATCCTCCCAAAAGTGCTTTTTGACACCTTGCCCAAAAATCCAGTAGGCTCAAGTGATGGGCTTATCTTTGGAAAGCCTGAATATCCTTGTGCCCAGGCTTTCTGTTTCCGTGTTTTGTGTGTTGGTATTTCTTTTTCTTATCTTCAAATGCATAGGAGTTATAAATTTAAAAGTTTAATGCTTACAACATGAATTTCCAGGCATTGTGCATGCAGGCTATGGTTTTAATGATTTTAAGTTTTTTGAAGTTATATTATGACATAGAATTATTAAATCAGCCTGTTCTCTTAAGAAATATTATACATTTTTTGCAGGGGGAGCTTTCTCTTGGAACCATGACCTCTTTCATTGGGTACACATTCACTCTAACCTTTGCAGTGAGTGAGCAACTCTAGTTACGCCTTTGTGCTGAATCTTCAACTTGCTCATTTGTACATTTAAAGTGTTTCATATGGTCTTGTTATTTATTTGGTTGAAGTGTTTCAGGTACAAGGATGTGTTAACACACTAGGAGATCTGCGTGGAACACTTGCAGCTGTAGAACGAATTAATTCTGTATTAACTGGGTCTGAAATTGATGAATCATTGGCTTATGGTCTGGAAAGAGATGCCCAAAGAGGAAGCCTGGATATTGGTAATCTTGGTTCCTTATACAAGGATGGTGAATACCTTCAAAGTCCAATCACACATTATAGGTTGGAGAAAACAACCTCCAGTGGCTACCATCTTGCTTGGTCTGGTGATGTTTGTCTTGAAGGTACATACAATTTGTTCTCATTGTTAATGTCCTTTCTTTTTCAAAGAACTATAATTTATTGATTACGAATAAATTATTTCCTAATCAAATGCCTTGTACTTTCTTTTTGGGATATATCTCACCTATTTTGACAATATCAACTGGGAAAACTACTTTACAATCCAATGGATAATGGAAAACCATAGTGGGCAGTCATGGAGAGAGAGTGGGTACGATCCTGATATGCCCAGATATGGATATGGATGTGATTATATGAATACATATGCTGAGAATGGGAACACGAAGTGGCAGTCGTTGAAATCCAAGACGTGGATACAAGTACGAGTATCCTATCTAACACATCAACAAATATATTTTCTAGTCTTGTGTAATACACACATTTGGTGCATCAGACATTAATACATATGTGACCTTATCATAATGCATAATATATTGATATTATATCCTATTTTGTGTTATATTTTTTATAATTATCTCATTTTATATTTGCAAGTGCAACATCCAGTATTAGTACAGTGCTTAAACAACACAACACGCGAATGTTAAGCATATATACAAGAATCTGTGCATCACAGGACCTACCATTAGGAGATATATCCTGTTTGGTGGATGCCACTTTCTCCATCACAACTCATTGTTTCATTGGGATGGTGGTGATCCAAGTGGACTATTGACCCTAAGTCATAGTCCATTTGATTACAGTATACTTTTCTTACTGACTAATACAGTTTACTCATTTGGGATTGCAGATGTGTACTTCTCTTATCCATTGAGATCTGATGTCGATGTCCTCAATGGTCTGAACCTAACACTAAAATGTGGGACCATAACAGCTCTTGTGGGTCCGAGTGGTGCTGGGAAAAGCACAATTGTGCAGCTTTTGGCGCGCTTTTATGAGGTATAGTTGTGTACTTTTAGATTTCTTCTTTTAGTAATTAACTACCACTTCTATTATGGTGAACCAATCTAGTAGATATTATGTATTATATTTGCAGCCAACCAAAGGTCGCATAACAGTGGGTGGAGAAGATGTCCGGGCATTTGATAAAAGTGAGTGGGCCCGAGCTATCTCAATAGTGAATCAGGTATTGCTTCAAGTTAAAATTATGATACACATTATTTTGATTATTAGACAACTTGGAGAGTAGTTCGTTATTATTCCAAAGTTTGACTATAATCTGGTTTTCAATCTTGAGCTGTACTTTATGCCCTTGGTGTTTTATCATATATTTAATGATATATCCTTTTCTTTTCCTTTTGGGTATGTAATGATCCTTTGAGAGTCACCCAGTTCAATGTGGGAGCCACTTAATGTAGCCAGGAATGCTCTTACAGTTGATCATGTGACATCTGGTGCCGATTTTAACTTTCTCTTTTATCAGGAACTTGAAACTTTTCGATCGGTGTCATTTTCTTTTTTGGGTAATGAACATTGTCATTTTCTCTTGCTATCTTGCTTGCAGGACCCCATCTTGTTTTCAGTGTCGGTTGGAGAAAATATTGCATACGGGTTGCCAGATGAGGATGTCTCTAAGGAGGATATTGTGGAGGCTGCAAAAGCTGCAAATGCACATGATTTCATAATCTCTCTTCCGCAGGTTCTCTCTCTGTCTGTCTCTTTCTCTCTCTCTGTCTGTCTCTTTCTCTCTCTCTCATTCATTCACACACACACACACTAGCTGATAACATAAACATTCTCTATCTCATTAATAATGTGCCTCCATGTTCTTAATTTTTAAAGCATATAAAATGGATTATAATTGTTTTGCAATATTTTGGGTCAGATTTGGTTTAGGTCCATGAGGTTTGCCCAGAGTCACTTAAGAAATGTCTATTTGAAATAGAACTCTTTTTTTCTTCGAAAAACAGATACAGGTATTTTTTTATACAAATTTAGATTTGATAATTGCTGACATCCAAGGAATATGGTCTAAAATACATTTTCTTGTTAAGAAATTTATTCTTTTATGAACTTTTTTTGGCTGAAATTTAGAATCAAAATTTGGGATTTGACCCCGCATTCTGTATAGAAATTTCCTTAAGCTTGGTATGTGGGCTTTTGGGGAATTTGTAGACCCATTACTTTCTCCTATGAATTAGTTACTTGAATAGTTCTAATTACTGCTTTGTATTTTTCTAAGGGCTATGACACACCAGTTGGTGAACGTGGGGGCTTGTTGAGTGGAGGGCAGAGACAGGTAAATGTGGGTAAATTTGCTGAGATAACCAAAATTGAGGTATACCAACTAACTCTTTTCTTGCACAGAGAATAGCCATTGCTAGAGCTCTCCTCAAGAATGCCCCGATTTTGATACTTGACGAGGTATGTTCATGCAAGCAAATATTTTTTTGAAGTAAAATCTATACATATACCACAAGTTTTAGAGTAAAATACGCAAATGACACCTCTTAAAAGATTTAGATAGCTGCCACATTTTTAAGAAAGTGCTGATGAAAGCTGCCCCTTGTATATGAAAATCAATATTTCCATGTACTCTCTCTCCTGATTAGAGAGAGGAGGGGCTGTCATGGCAGCTGTTCCCCCTTGGAGAGAGAGAGAGAGAGAGAGAGAGAGAGACAGAGTGTGGGACTAGTAAGTTGGTTTAGTTGGACGTCTCGTCGTTCCGTACCCTATATAATGCTATGTACTAGTTAGAGAGAGGTAGTGCGTAGGTT